CATCCTGTTCCTCATCGGCATTGGCAGCTACGCCAGCATCGTCCTCCCCCTCTTCTTCAGGCTCGGACTCTCTGCTGGCCATGGCAAAGCCTTGGTCGATGGTGAACTGGTGGATGGAGTCCAGTACCTTAGTCAGACGGATCCTTAGCGACTCAGGGATGCAAAAAAAAGGGGCGCATATCTCATCAACGTAAGGAACCCTACCTTCAAGTTTGAATTTGACACATTGTCCATCTGGTCGCAGGAAAATGGGAGTGGTATCCTTTCCCCAGACAAAGTCATACCCCTGTTCCAAACATCTCAACCCAATGGAGAGTGCTGAACGGGTGCTTTGAAGAATGTAGGGACTAAAGGATTCACACAACCCTGGAAGAATCACCTCAACTACATCTTCAGCAGTGATGGGACCATTTGCAGTAGTGAGGGAAATGGGTTCATTAGACTTGAAGATCTTAGTGGCCCTATTCACGGTCTTGGAGTCTTCACCTACAATGTCCTGGTCAGCGCCAGTATCTCCTAGCCACTTCTCCATGCCTACAGTGCTTGGCATCGCAGTTACGCGAGCACAAGAGGGCACCTGTTCACCGGTGACCGTCCTACACTTTGTGCAGGACAAGTCATCGGGGCCTTCTGGGGAATGGTTACAAACGAAATCACACGCAGGCTCCTCGGTATCCATCGATTCGAGCATCTGCCTAAGTGATCACCCTCGCGGGACCTTGGACATTCCTCAGTGGTCCTGAACAGGTGTCGCTTTCTGCTCTTATTCACAACATGCCGATACATGTCCTTCCAAACAGGGAAGGTATGCACCTCAGGCTTGAATTCAAAACGACTTCGCTTTTCTTGCAAAACACGGAAAACTGATTTCCCTGTCCAGTCAAACTTCTGTTTCGCGTTTGGGTGTTTCTTCCAATTACCCTTGATTGTCCTACTCTTCCCTTTTGAGTCAGTTACTACCATGGTAAACTGGTCTTCCAACCTAGATGATTCCACGGGACAGGATTTACGTGTTGGGAGAAACGACCTGCTTCTAGGCTTTTAAATGGTGCCTAATCAGTTCCGTGCCATCCTTGGAGAATTCCCAGTAGTCTTTACTCTTTGGGGATTGAGTAGCTGTTGCTGCTAAGCAAGACAGTGCGAAACCTGTTTGAATACATGGACTTGCCTTTGGGCTCGTTTCCTTCTTTTCCTTTTTGCTCTTCTTGTCCTTCTTGTCCTTCTTTGACTTCTTGTCTTTGGACTTCCTAGCCGCGGGAGATGGGCTGCGTCGCTGCGTCTGCGTGAGGCCGGCGTTGCCGTGTCACCGTGTTTGAATCGACATTTGTCACCCCTCTTACAGTTACCCTTTGCAAAGAACCTACACGGTTTCTCCGACTTTCTACCTCTACTTGAACTTCTTGATGAATTTCTAGAACTGCTACAGGAAGACGGTCTCGAAGAACTTCTTGATCGGCTTGACCTGAACGAAGAGCGACCACGTGAGCTAGCACTACGCGAACGCGACGACTCCCGGCTAAGGGAGCGGTGACGAGCGCTAGACTCGTGCGAGTACTTGCATTTGCTACCATACTTGCACTTGCCACTTTTGGCGAACTCATAGCATTGATTGCTGTTGTCACCTTTCGTGCTTTGTTTGCCGTAACTAGGGCTTCGCGCGCGTTTGTCATGTGGCGCCGGGTTTGCATACTTTGCCGAATGCGATTGAGAGATTTTCTCTCTGTTTGTCCTTAGCCGTTCCCTATCAAGATACCGTCTGACAGAGTTGATTAGAAACTCATGGCCTCTGTCATTACTTCCCTCTCGAGCACGTTCATAGACATCAAGGTCAAACCTGAGTTTACGGGACTTCCTAACCTCTCTATAGAAAAGATCCTTAAGTGTAGCTGGGTCCGAAACATGGCTCATTCCAGTCAAAACACTTTCCCATTTCCTAAGAAAGGACTTTAAGTCATCGCTGTCAAGCGAGATCTTGAGGAGGTCCTCTGTTCCGTAAAGGGCGCCCGCTTCTTCGCTAGTTTTGAAATGGACTTCAAAAATGAGCAAAACCTGACGACCACGAACGAACCTAGCTTGCTGTGCCTCAGATTCCTTGAAATTAAGGATCTGCTGAGACAGTTCGCCCTTAGCAACCTTAGTCAAAGCAGCAAGTAGTTTCGTATCTAAGGTCCGAAACTTGCCTGGGTCTGCCGCCTGCCAGCTCCGAACAAAGCTTTGCCTTGTCCTCTCGGACGGCATAGACTTCAAGCACCCACACGAACGCGGCATCTGGGTCATCGGACGCGGACCGAATCGCTTCGCGAACTGTGGCCCTCCAAGCGCGGTACCTGTCAGGACAAGGGAATTCGGGAAGGTCTATTTTATCTGCCTCTTTTGCCTTGGGTTTATCATGGTCTTTGCTTTTAGCACCCTTAAACCCCTCTAGCAAGGCTTTCTTAATTAGTTCACCTAGATCTTGTTCTTGGGGAGTGCGTACCTGAGATGCCGGCCCTTCATCTTTGCGTTCATCTTTGTCAACATTGGCATCCGACTTACTCCTGTACGCCGCCCAAGGATCTGAAGCATCCAACTTTCTCTTGTCTGTTGAAGCTGACGGTTTCTCTGTTGCAGCCGCCCCTGTTCCAGAAAACATTGAAGGGAAACCTGTATTGCGTTTGGTTGCATTTGCATCCATTGCAGTTTTCACAGGAACTCCGCCAAGATCTGGGGGCGAACCATCTACGGTTGACGGTTGCGGGAACTGAGCCTTCTGTTCGTAGAGGTCCAAGAGAGCGGGGTTCTCCGACAGGGAACATTCCAGGTTTCTCCTCAGGCACAGGCGGTTCGGGAAGAAGCGGCCCTGGTTTAGCGGGGCTTTCAAGCTGTGGTTTGCGTTCTTTATTTGCATTGGCCAATGCCTGCACCACCTGCCTGAGCTCATCCATCTCACCTTTCAACATTGCGTTGTCCTTCCTGAGCTCAACTATTGTTTGTTCCTGCATTTCCTTGTCAAAGTTGCTCTGCTTCTTGACTGCTGCAACTTCACTTGAAAGTGTCTTCACTTTTGCCTGCGCTATTGCCAAGGAGCTCGTCAGTTCGGTTCATCGCGATTGAATTCTAGTTCAATAACTTTGCTAGCATCTTCTGCTGCTGTAGCCCTTGCTTGTTGTGTTGCATCTGACGCTGCCTTGAACCTTGCTTCATTCTGTTCAACATATGGCTGATGTTCTGACTTCAATTGCTCCTAATAGCTGTTGCCGTCCGAACAATTCATTGCAAGTTTATTCCTCTCTTGTACTGTTTGCCCGTGGGCTTTTGTGGCTTGAGCCAACTGATCCTGAAAATGCTCGCGCTGCTCTTCCAATGTTTCCTGCAATCGCCTTATTGCAACATTGTCTTGCGCCTGAACATGCTGTTGAGCCTGTTGCTGAACAGTCTGAACGGCCAACTCTGCAACAAGCTTTCACGCTCGTACAAGCTTCTGAACCTGAGCGCCTCAAACTCTGCCTCGCACCTTGACTGCTCACTGAGCTGTACTTCATGTTGATGCAGCTCTCTCCGCAGCTCTGCATCAACCGCGCCTGTATGAACATTGACAACGTTGAGCCTAGCCATTGCCAACGTGTTGTTCACTGTTGGCGCGCCGATTACGGCGGCTGACGGCACACCGGCTAAGGTGGCTTGCGCGGCTTCCTGGAGGGAGATATTCCCCGTCACCATTAAGCACCTGCTGGTATACCTCCGAAGCTCCCTGTGGTCCCATTGCTGCCAACATTTGTTGTGTCTCAGCCATCGCTTGTTCATGCCTCTGAACTGCGTTTGCACCACTAGGAAAACTTGGAACAATGTCAAAACCGCTTCCGTAGGCGTTCGGCACGACGTCGTCGTCCATCGGGTCCATAGCTCTACTCTAGTTAGCCTACGGCTGATAACCTGTATTTTACAGGATCAGCTCAGATTCACTAGCTAACCTAGCTAACCCTGTCTAGCCGTTAAGCGTCCTTTTCACTCTACCTTGAGAGTACACGCTACGGGGTCCATAGGGATGAGGTGAATTTCAACAGTTACGTCATTTGTATTTCCCCTTTCCAAGGTGGGAGTGCACAAGGCAGTCCTTTCTCTGGGCAGGACCAGTCTTTTTGTTGTGCTCCCAAGACATATTTAGTGCTTGTGCTTAGAGTATCCTACATACTCTTTGTAGTAAGTCTCTCGCACGTTGTTCACCCTTACCTGCCATGTGGTTCTTCCTCATGTCGCCGGCCGATCCTCGCATTGCGTGTTTACTAAGGTCCACTTGCATTTCTTGTTTCAGTTTGTGCATTCATTTGGTTCTCACGGCGTTTTGCATTGTATGCTTCCAAGGGCTTAAGTGTGTGTCTGTGTGTGTATTTTCTGTTGAATCGTTTTTTTAGATTTGCATGGTGGAACGGTAAGACAAATGCATTATGACCCGCTGACATTTTTTGCGATATTGTCGGTATTTGTTCTGCTTTCACAAAAGGATGTGGGACTGTAACCGAATTATTGATTGTCGTCTGAGGGTAGATCAAAGTAATACATCCTCATGAAGATAGCTAGCAAGGCTGCTTGGTCTCTAACTGTCATTGCGAGTGTTTACAGTATTGTGATTTGTAATTTGTTTGCCTTGGCCGCTTTGGCCTTCCATTCAGAACCCGCTGTTCTCTATGTTGGGGCTTGTTGCAAGTTTGCATCTCTTCTCCCACTTTGCTTGCATCTGTTACCTTGTCAACAACAGACACAGGTCCTTTACTTGCTGCCCCATTGCTTCGCATCTCTTGTAGCTCTCCCGTAGCATAAAATCCTCCCTGATGTGTCTGTGGGTTGGCTGTCATTCAAATCCTCTCAGCCTAAGCCCCAAAAAATTGCTGAGGCGCTGCTGGTTTCATCTTGTAACACCCAAGAACCAGTACAATCCATAAATAAAGACCAATGCTGCCTGAGGCATTCCAAACGAGCAAACCCTGCCCAATCAGGTAGCTAACTGGACTCAAAGCTCCATCCTGCTGCTTCTCAAGCTTCGCAAGCTCCGCGTGCTCCGCGAACTCCATGAATCAACTTGTTTGTGGTAAAGAAGGGCAGCACAGACAATGGCCGCACCTGGAAGATAGTAACCCAATGTTCTACGAGGAAAAGCAATGTGCATCACTATCAACTGCTTCATCACAAACGTTGAAGTCACCAGTTCCCAGCTTAGCCACAAATTGTTCAATAATGAAATGGTTATCAGCACTGACATCTGATTCAAGGGTCCATATGTCGGGAAGGACACGCCAAGCCAAAGTGCCTGGGGTTTCCACGCTTTTAAAGTCTTTTAAGTGCACAGGTTGCTGTTCCCTGCTTTGCTTTACCTAATGTCGTCCAGCCTGCTGCAGGACTCGATCGGCCCTTGGGCTCAGCCTGACAAGTGCTCTAAACCGAATTCCTGGCCCTAGGGCATCGCTACTAATTAGTACCGTAACAAAGGGCATCGCTACTAGGAGCAAGAAGCTACTAGTAGCTCCTGGCATTACTAGCAGAAACTAACAAGAAACTTAGTAACAAAAAGCCTCGCTACTTGTCAGCCCTGCAGGCATCCCGTTCGTGATGTCGTGCAATTGAGTATCCTGTTTCGGGTGGGGTTTCAAACCTGTGTTGGGGTCCAAGTTCACAATTCTATGTGACGGTATGTGACGGTGGGACTAGGAGTCTATAAAAACAAGCAAGTCAAGCAATGTCAAGCAAGCACTAGCATTTGGTTCGAACTGTCGGCTGTCTCATTAGCTTTGCACTTCAAGCACTTGAGCTATCAGACCCAAAATCCGGAAACCTGCCGACTGATGCCTTTGGAGTCCCATGCTTCGTGACGATTTCTGTAGGTGGCCTCAGGGCTCAAGGAGTTGCGAGGTTGTTCATGGCATTTTTCAAGGCCCTTCTGAGGAAATATATCATATACAAAGCCAAATTCCACTGCACGCCACAACAAAAGCATGCAAAAAAGAGGACTTGTCAGAGCCAAGGAACACATTGGATGCCAATGGTTTCCAGCTGGAAATCGACACCATGTGGGCTTCAAAAGGTCACAATGTTAAATTGACAATTGATATCTGAGGCCTGTTCTTCGTCGTAATTGTAAAAGCGACAACTCGGTCTCAAAGTGTTTAAGGGATAGTCTGGGTTGGAAGTGTTTTGTTTTTGTTACAGGTATGTTTGTCTCATCGGAGTGCATCGTGTTGATAAGCAGCTGGCAAGCTAATCGAAAGCCCTGACGTTCACTCTGTTCAAATAACCCTTGGATCTGACCTATCTCTTGCCGACAAAAATGCACAAAACTCACGCATCCATGCATGTGTTCCTCTCTATGCCTGCCGGATGCGAACTGAAGTTCTTAGGACAGTCTGGACACGGTTTAGATCTATAAACAAATCGTCAGTTCACCCTTTGGTATCACAAGACGGGAACTCGCAAACATCAGTGCACACTTTTTCTCTGTCGAGAAACTGGTGTTCATTGCGTTGTGGCCTTAGGCCACTGGGCCTGGCTTCGCTCTCGAAGGTAGCGGTGGCTTATGGACGAACTGTTTCAAACGAAAAGCGCTGTGAAGATCCAGGTGTGGGTGGGCGGGCGCTTTTCGGGCGAAAGAGACGGTGCACCCACCCACCCACCACTTGATCCAGCGCAATGGCGAGAACATGTGTGAAACCCGGAGCCTCCTCCCTGAAACTCGAACTGACAACTCGATCCCCGTTGGTGAGTTTCATTGTCAATTCACCGTTGGTTTTCACGAGACAAGAACTCGCGCCCTCTCTCAACATTTGTAAAGTAGAGATATGATATATTCATTCATTTCAGAATCTGTTCAGTCACCAATCCTGTTTCTCCTCTGTGCTTGCTCTGACATGCGCCCGACGCTTGCTTGCATCCAATTTCTCTTTCTCCTTCAACACAACAGCCTGCTTCAGCCATCATTTCCACCATTCAGCCCGAAAAGAACTCATTCGATGGTCATCCCAATCCAAGTTCTTGTCCAGCACAACCTTCAAGTCCGGTGGCACTTGGTGATCACCCAGAAGTTGGTGGCCAGCTTTGCACGCCTGCTTGATGCAGGTTTCATAGTTCCATGGAAGGCCAAAACTTATAGGACCGGATAACCCCACATGTGAACAACTTCGAAAGTTTGAGGCTGCAGGGGTAAAGTGCGGAAGAGTGAGCGTGGGGAAGAGACAGGCGAGACAGATATAAGGCGTGAGGGTCTCTGTGTGTACGTGAGGTGTGTGTTTGCGTGTGTGCGCTTGTTCGTCAGTGTGTATCAGTGTGTGGGTGGATGTATGCTGCTTGGCGCTTGTACTAAAGTTGTACTAGAAAGTCGCCAGTTCTCATCTTCCAGCTCCCCAAATACTCCGCGTACTAAAGTTGTACTACAAAGTCGCCAGTTCTCATATTCCAGCTCCACAGACGCTGCGTACCTGGCACGAAATCTGCACATGGAGGTTCACAAAGTGCTGTGCCTGCCACGAAGTCTGCGCCGGTGCCCAGCCGACGCCAGA